TAAAAGTAAAAAGCTAAACATAGTCTATGAGCAAATTACACCACGGTCACTTGACTTCAACTTCTCCACCATTAACCTTCCAACAACAACAAAAAACATTTTCCCTGAAAGTTTGAGTTAGAATAGTTTGCTAGAGCGCAATAATAAACACAACAAGGCTGTTAAAGTGACTAGTGAGTAGATAAGCTTTCCTGTTCATCATGATGATGTTTAAAGGGATAGTTCACCCAAAAATGAACATTTTGTCATTAATTCCCCTCATGTCGTTCCAAACCCATAAGACCTTCGTTCATCTTCAGAACACAAATAAAGATATTTTTTGATGAAATCCGAGCGCTTTCTGACCCTGCATAGACAGCAATGTAACAACCAAGTTCAAGGCCCAGAAAGGTAGTAAGGACATTGTTAAAATAGTCCATGTGACATCAGTGGTTCAACCACAATGTTATGAAGCTATGAGAATACTTTTTGTGCGCGAAGACACAAAAATAACTTTATTCAACAATCTAATCTCCTCCGTGTCAGTCTTAGATGCACATTCACAAGAAAACCACGACGCATGCGTGTGTTGAATTTTTGAATAAAGTCGTTATTTTTGTTTTCGTTATTTTTGTCACATTTGCAATTCCGTCATGGCACAGAAATGACACATTTCACCTTGAAATAAATCATGAAATCACTTTTCAGTGTTTGACATTCTTTACGACATCACAACGTGTGTCTATCCCAAGGCTGTGTGCGGTAATGGCTTCCTGATTGACAGGTCTGGTTTAGATGTAGCATTTAATGTAATTGTGAGACGCTCACAGTATCGGCCTCATGAAGTAGCCAGTTTAAGGGCTTAGCCGCACGTTGGGGTGCATGTAAAGATCACTACTGATTACTGATGTAAAGAAACACTACTGTCTGTAGTGTTATACAACTACCCCCTTGTAATTATTTATTATGTTATATTTATTAATTGTAAATTTATTTTCTCCTTTGGGAGCCAATATAGCGGGAAGACGCTTGTAAAGATGACTACGTTTGACCCTCAATTAGTTTAGCCTAACCCGCACCGTTGTTTTTAACTCTCTTAACTGAAGAGATGACGGCTGATTAATGGATCCAGAGATATGTCGGATGTTGGAAAATACAGTGTCTTAACACGGGACAGGGTATGGGACATTGTAATTGTATGCGCACAAGCGAGGAAGGAAGACAATGCAGTATGCAAAACAGTGACGAAGAGGAAAAACATTTCAGACTGAAAGCGACGTCCTCATTTTCTCTATTCAATGGACCACTAAGCCTCTATGTGTCTCTATGTGCCTGCAGAAAATTCAACCTGGACTGAATATTGAGCAGCAGGACTGCAAACAACACACCATGAACCTCCCTGCCTCTTCATCTGAATAGCTGTAGCGAATCGAAACGTCTCAATCCTGGAAACGTGTCACTTTTGAGGAAGATAATTGTTCTTGAGCCACCAAATAGGACTTAAAAGGTACAAACTTTGAGCAAGTGCAAGTAGATTTTTATAGTCCTGTTGTAAAGCATGAGGACATTGAAAGTGAGAGAATGAGCTTTTGGCTCTTTTATGCTTTATGGGTGTGGAATGACGTAAGAGCTGCAATTTTATATATTCTTAGTAATGGCTTTCTTAAAGGGACCTCTATAGCCTACTTTTCGCTTTGGCTGTTGTGCTAACATGATTTTCCCGTTTAGGGTAGAACTCAGACGCTGTTGTAATAAAAGATTGTGATGATTATTTCACCATCTCCGCCTGTATGGAAGGAGTCTGTGTTTCATCTCATTTAAAGTCCTTATTTCTGCCACACAGGTTAGTAGGAGCTCGTTTGCCAAGTGTTGCATTAATTATTTCTTACATAACAGCACAGGTACATCTTTCTTCTCATATCTAATGTCTTTATTGTAATGCAAAATCATAGATTTTCTTGGGAAATTCTATTACATTATTATCAAGCAGGTATTGCCAATTAACAAATCTAAGGCAGCAACTCTTCAAGCCAACATGAAACGGCAACCCATTTTACTTCCGCTTGGTTGAAAAGAAAGTCACTTTAGTGGGAGCAAGTCTCCTCTGAAATAACATGCACTGAATAATCACCCAGGATAAGACAATATGTGTTCTCAAAGAGTTTTTTTTTCTGTTGACTTAAGTTTAAAATGTCAGTTAAACTATAGAGCACTGAAAGAATGAGTCCTAAAACCTAGAAACAATTCTGTATTTTTGCACCTTTATTTCCATCGTCCCAATGTCAGCGGGTTTTTTGAATGAGTTTTTAGTTAAACATCTGATATATTTTGTGGTTAACGCAAGCTCAAATATTTTCAACTTCAACGGCAACTTTAAAATACATAATACCCCATTTATGATATTTATTCAAGCTTTTTCTTATCTTGAAAAGGGCATTTGCTAACAAAGGACTACAGAGGTTGTTGGGGACATTAAACATCACACCGAACAGATAAACTCATCTACACACAATCTTTATTTTAAATAAAGTTTGAAAGAGTTTACCTCTGCCAACTGTATTTAGGCTTCAAAGTTCATAAAATTTGTGTTTTGTGAAGCTTTATCTTGATGATTGCTATTTAAGATATTTCTAGAAAATGTAGCCTCAGATGTAGGCCAGACCTGATAACACTTCTACAATTTCTGTAACCAACCACTTTAATATTATACAATTGTTTTCTAATTATATATCAAGTACATTGCCTGTAATAGCCATTAGAAACTGCAGTGAGAACATTGGCATTGACGGCTTGCAGTAGTTTTTCAGTATTTAAAGTTTGTTGGGCAGCTCGTTAAAGGATTAGTTCACCCAAAAATGAAAATTCTGTCATTAATTACTCACCCTTGTGTTGTTCGAAACCCGTAAGACCTTCGTCCATCTTCGGAACACAAATTAAGACATTTTTGATGAAATCCGAGAGCTGTCTGACCCTCCGTAGACAGCAATGCAACTGAAATGTTCCCAGGTCCAAAAACATAGCAAGGCCATCGGTAAAATAAGTCCATGTGACATCAGGGGTTCAACCGTAATTTTATGAAGCTACGAGAATACTTTTTGTGCGCAAAGAAAACAAAAATAATGACTTTAACAATTACGGTTGAACCCCTGATGTCACATGGACTATTTTACCGATGTCCTTTGTTTGTTTCTGTGCGTTGATCGTGGTAATATCCTTGCTGTATGGAGGTTCAGAGAGCTCTCGGATTTCATCAAAAATATCTTAATTTGTGTTCTGAAGATGAACGAAGGTCTTACGGGTTTGGAACGATATGAGGGTGAGTAATTAATTACAGAATTTTCATTTTTGGGCGAACTATCCCTTTAATATCAAGTTAAGTCAAAATTATAGTTTCGTAGCTTTAAGTCTATGTCTGTTAACACTGACATCATTTGAAAGCTAGATGCTAAAGCGGATGCTAAACAAACTAAATTGAAATATTGAAATAAAGGTCCCACTTTATATTACGTGGCCTTAACTACTATGTACTTACACTTAAATTAATCATTTGGCACATTGTACTTATATTTTTGAAATATAGTAGTCAACATTTGAAGTGGATAAAAAAAATTCATCAACGTTGTCCTAAGACAAGAACGCGTTTTAGGTTTTCGGACTACTTTGATGAAAGGTTTTGATCCACTTCAAATGTTGACTAGTGTACTTAATAGTTAAGGCCATTTAATATAAAGTGTGACCAAAAAAATCATCCTGCACAGTCCAAATGCTCTCTGTGAAAACGTCCCTCCTGCCAACACAACCTAGCTCTGACTAGCAACAGGAAGTAGCATGTATCTTGGTTCTCAACTGTGGCATAAACAATAGAAAAAAAGATTGTGCTGTTCAGCATAAAAACTCCCGTTTCAATTGAAAGCACATGGGTTAAAGTAGGTTATTTTAAAGCAATTGGTGTTGTTAAAGAACTATTAGTTTCATGTTAGCATGTTCTGTACTAGCTTGATGCTTTGAACGGGTAATTTACCCAAAAATGAAAATTGTCATAATTTACTCACCCTCGTGTGGTTTTAAACCTGTTTGACTTTCTTTTGTTATTCACAAAATAAGATATTTTAAAAGTCAATGGGGTCCAAACAACTTTGATGACAGAATTGTAATTTTTGGGTCAACTATTCTTCTAAAGCGCCACTGGAAGTGTACGCAAGAATTCAAGAACACGAAAACCAATCATTGCCAGGGAGGAATGGATGATTTATTGCAATTAGTCATTTTCAGACACAAAGGCTTTCCAACTCAAGAACAACATACGTACCTGTACAAAAACACACTTGTTACCAAGAAATGTAAATCTGATTAAAGTTGTGAGAACACGCAAACAGCCAAGGGAACAAACAGAGGATGCAGAGGAGGAGGAGGATGGTTGTGGCAATGATGAAGAGTAGAACACGATGGATTTCTAAGCCAATTTAAGCACCATATTCATGTTATAGGAAAGGCTGAACTGAATACCTTAGAATGTATGACTTAATTTTAACATGGGTACACACATGAGAATAATCATCACAGTATTTTTTCATTAGACATTTTTAACCAACTAAAGAAAATAACAGTTGGTGCACTACTTAGTCATCATGCAATTTACTTTAGTAAACTTTCTGTAACACAGACAAAATAGACTTTAATATGTAGAAGAACTTCATAGATTTCTGCCAAACAGCAATAGTCACAAAGCCTGGAAAGTAATTATAGAATCTTTGAATGTGAGTTCACCTATCAAAAATAATATGCTGATTTTTTATTTTCTTTATATATTTAAAGTGCAAGTATTTTATCCATTTGATTCAATGCTTTCTGTAAGTATAAAATAGAAAGAAAAAAACAGCAATATGCTTTTTCCCATATACATTTCCTATGCATATAGGAACACATATATAGGAATCATATACATATTTATATATACATATATATATATATATATATATATATATATATGCCATCTTTTTTTAATAAAGAGGAGCATCATATGTAACAAACCATATATACACACACATCACAGGTCATATATATATTTTTAAGTACAACACATTTGATAGGGAATAAAAAGGAAATGGTTGGTGGGATATGTGAATACCCTCCTTGTGCATTGACCCTCGATGCAGGACCACTCCCAGACAGTCTGCTTAATACGCAAAACGCTCACAGTTACATGCTAAGCAGGTCAAAGCCTTGAGCTTGTGAGACCGAAGGAACGCGAAGTATGAGAACTAACCCAAGTTGGTGACTGGCCGTGGTTTAAAAGGGAAGGGGAACCGGATAATCGCGCGCACACACACACACACACGCTTCATGAGATTAACAAGTAGATCAAGTTAAAAGGTTGCTCTTCGTATTGGAAACTGCAGATACGTGAGGGCTTTAAGGTGTCTGTGCAGCTCCGTTAGTTCAGTTATGCTCATTAAGGACAGGTGACGTTCGAATCAGCACCTGGAATTGGAGAAAAGATTGAAATTGCTCTTCCAGTCCAGAATGGAGTCAGAGTACCGTTTAATTTTTTGTCCCCACAGCCTGTTGTGCATCAAACCAATACTGGTCTTTGCTGGTGGAGAGCTTGAACACTATTACATGAGAAAGTCTGGCTGTACGATGCCACCCAGACAGGACTGAGCCATTTAGTACCCACTAGCACCTTCATGATTGACTTAAAACATGTGCGTATTCGATCGAGGGTGCATTTTTGCATCGTTTTGCTCTAGAAAACACCTTTAAATGTTACTTCCAGTTTAAATTTCGTACTGTGGCACACATCGAGCAGTTTTCGTAATCGCATACGGGCAGTGATAGGAAAAAGATTTGCTTACCGGTCTCAAGAGGAAAAGAAATATAACGGTGTACAAATAGACCTAAAATAGCCCCTACAAGAGAAGCATGCCATTTCAGATTCAGTCTTGAAGAGATGCGAGGGCATATCGAGCGAGACAAAGTGCATATGTATGCTTTAATATTGTGCAGTGGTAAACAAGAGACCAAACGCTCCGCAGGAATAATGTCAGCCTTGATCCCCTATAGACTTCCTCATGTGCTTAGCACGAAATGGGCCTTTAGCATGGGAGTCTGTGGCTAGAAACCCCCAAACTGTCCGTAGGCTGGTGGCTTTAGTACATATAAAGGTCTCGTTTTTACAAAACCCTACATATCCGAGTATCTGTGACGTTTGGGTCTGACAGCAACAACAGGCTTTTCACTGCAGCACTAGTGAGCTTGCTTATGTCGAGAGAGGGTTTGAGGAAAAAGTCTATATTTTTTCCTAACAACATTCATAAGATATTTGATCAAATAAATAGTTATGAATATCTCTGACTGAAGCATTGTGCATTTAATATTGGCTAAAATAAAAAAAATACATATATATATATTAGCAACCGAGTATTAAACTACTCCAACCACCGAGAAGCTTAAGTGACTACATCACTATATTTTTAGGTCACACAGGATTGCGTCTGATTGGCGGAGAGCAGATTTGCCGCCATATACGCAGGTGCTTTCAGACGGTCCCTGTTTGTGGTGACTGGTTTAGTTAGTAGGATAAACCCTCAACTTTTCAAAAAGGTTAGTTTAATATGCAGAGACATGTTTCGATTAGAACGAGCCTCAAGCGTACATTTTATGTCGTTGCAGGGGACGAGTATCCACACACACAAAATGCCGACCTCACGCAAGATTCAATCGTCCCGCAGAATCCGATCCCCCCTCAGACCCCAAGAGGTAGCCATCAGTAATGCCTTTTCAAAAACATTGCATTATTGTCTTCTAGATACTCAAAAGTAGTTTTTCTGTTAATGCTTTTGTAGCGTTAACATTCATAGTTCGTATCATCTGGAATATACGACTGGATTAACAAAAACAGAATGGCAAATGTTTAATTTGACTATGTGTAGCTTTGATTATTTTTTATAGTTATCACACCATCATTCAGCGATTTAGTAGGATTTCATATCAGGCATTGAATAGAGTACCCATTATAAGATTTTTTAGGAAATAGTTTTGCTTTGGGGGTCCGAAGGGGGACGTGAACCTGCGGCGGGACTGAATTTTGGGCAACGCCACCACTGGCACGCAGCCTACAATATATTGCACACGATACTGAAATGTTAGCACTGTAACTTTAGTGAGAAAAGTAAAATCTCAAGATGCGATGTGACGAGGTTGACAACTAATGAATTCAGCAACTGGTAAGACCGGCAGAAGTAAATCCCACGAACGGGGATATTAGCACCATACAAAAAAATCATACAGGCTACTGCCTCGGCCGTAAGTCTACTAATATAGGCCTACATTAGCATAATGCTGGGCTGTAGCGAGAAACATACGTACAACCTTATCACGCTGTTTGTTTGTTTTTTTACACTCAGCTTTTCTTTTTTTTTTTTTTAAACCTGTGTTACTTTTTTTAATTAATTTATATATTTTTTTACACAGAGCATGACTAGCAGACCTCCACCGCCTTTAGGTGACTACTGCTGCGTTCACGTCGCGCCAGAATTATCTAAGTTTTTGACAAGCACAAAAACAGTTTACCTCTTAATCATAATTTGAAAAATTTCGCAAAGTCTGACATCAAGGACAAAACCGCACATGGATCGATTTTGCCTTTGAGCACCGCCACGGAAAACCAAGTAATTCTGATATGACGTGAACGCATCACGTCCATGTTTACGTCAGTGCTGTTTGATTATGACATCATCGTTCTTTTCCCAGCAACGTGGAGGGCCAAGAGCCCGTGCGCCTCTTTCTTTGATTGGCTTGTCGAAGAAGTCATCGAAGAAACTCCACGCCGTTGTGACCCCAAACGACAAAGAAAGACAAACAGCAATCGGAAAGAAAATGATCGAACACGTAAAGCATGTAAACGTGTGGAGAATATAAGGCACCAGAGTTGTTTTTTGACGTTGTAGAGGATGCTCTGCGCAGATATTAACGCAACTCGCACTAGTGGACAGCTCCTTTTTGAGTACCAGGCCCCCTCCCACCCCGTCCCCAAAAACAAAATAAAGAAAAATTCCCACAGAAAACGTGGGCAATTTCATAAGGATCTAAGTACATCTGATTCACAAAATCATAGTTTGTATATCTAAGTTAGCACTTCAATGAAACCGTCTGCCCAAATGTCAGAGGGCAATGGTGCAACAGGGTTCATATTTAACAGGAACAAACGTCAACCGGTTGTTTTAGCAATGCCTTCGCTGTGCGGCTACCGAAGCACACATTGCATGACACGTGCAAACAAACAATCTCATTTGCTTTGTGTATAGAGTTAAAAGGCAAACGAGTAAACAACATATCTAGATTTCCTCATATGCATTTCAAGGTGCACTTGGTCATTTTTGGTTTATGTGAGACATGAAGCTTCTTCTGCCATGATAAATTTATTTTGCAAATGAACGTGACTAATAACATTGAGTTTATGTTGTTAATTGGTTGGTCACGTGATCTCAACATGGCGGCCCCCATGATGCAACCAGCGAAAAACTGTTGTGTAAATAATGGAAAAATGACCAAGTGCACCTTTTAAGTCGAACCAGAAGGGGTGACATCCACTGATATAAATTGGATAATCTAACAAAAGTGCATGTTTAAATATTCACAGCACTCCCGCATCACTGTTCCTTCACTTCTGATGTTCGTTTGCATGTTGAACCTTTGGTTCAAACGGTTCCTAAATAATAGCTTTTGTGCTGGAAGTCAAAAGTGAGCACTAATTATATTTCTTCCTCTTTTTCAATTTGCACCTTTGGAAATAGTATTACACTGCAAAAAATGTCCAGCTTGTTATCCAGTCAAATACACAGCATCTTTAAAATAATTTACTTGACAAGCAGAACTGTAGGAGTGGGGTCAGTTGCTCCAATAAGCAACAAGCCACAGTGACGTCACTCACTTTGCATGCTCTCTTTAATAACCCCAATGTGCATGCTGAATATCAGCAGCATTTTCACGTCACTTTGTACTTTTTTAATTAAGAAAGTACATTTTAAAATCTGCAAAACACATTAGGGCATCAGTTCTTACACATGAAGCGGTCGCTGCCAAGTTGGCAACATGATTTACCGGTGTCAGTGCTGAAGTGTTTAGAAAGCATATTGAATCGTATTACAACTGACCCCACTCATGTTTTTATATAAAGTGTCATTTTACCATTAACTAGGCATGTTCTTTTATTTCCAGTATTGACATTTTTTGCTGTGTCATGAGTGGTCTGAATAAAATTGTGCAAACTGTTGGATTTTTCTTAAAATAATAAAATAACTAATATATATATATATATATATATATATATAGTTGTAAGGATATTTAGATATTTGTACTGGAAAACAAGTGGATTTTTGCAGTGCTGCACAAGAGCTTGGATGTGTCACACACGTGGGTAAAGAGGGATATACATTCAGCGATTTAGTAGGATTTCATATCAGGCATTGAATAGAGTACCCATTATAAGATTTTTTAGGAAATAGTTTTGCTTTGGGGGTCCGAAGGGGGACGTGAACCTGCGGCGGGACTGAATTTTGGGCAACGCCACCACTGGCACGCAGCCTACAATATATTGCACACGATACTGAAATGTTAGCACTGTAACTTTAGTGAGAAAAGTAAAATCTCAAGATGCGATGTGACGAGGTTGACAACTAATGAATTCAGCAACTGGTAAGACCGGCAGAAGTAAATCCCACGAACGGGGATATTAGCACCATACAAAAAAATCATACAGGCTACTGCCTCGGCCGTAAGTCTACTAATATAGGCCTACATTAGCATAATGCTGGGCTGTAGCGAGAAACATACGTACAACCTTATCACGCTGTTTGTTTGTTTTTTTACACTCAGCTTTTCTTTTTTTTTTTTTTAAACCTGTGTTACTTTTTTTAATTAATTTATATTTTTTTTTACACAGAGCATGACTAGCAGACCTCCACCGCCTTTAGGTGACTACTGCTGCGTTCACGTCGCGCCAGAATTATCTAAGTTTTTGACAAGCACAAAAACAGTTTACCTCTTAATCATAATTTGAAAAATTTCGCAAAGTCTGACATCAAGGACAAAACCGCACATGGATCGATTTTGCCTTTGAGCACCGCCACGGAAAACCAAGTAATTCTGATATGACGTGAACGCATCACGTCCATGTTTACGTCAGTGCTGTTTGATTATGACATCATCGTTCTTTTCCCAGCAACGTGGAGGGCCAAGAGCCCGTGCGCCTCTTTCTTTGATTGGCTTGTCGAAGAAGTCATCGAAGAAACTCCACGCCGTTGTGACCCCAAACGACAAAGAAAGACAAACAGCAATTGGAAAGAAAATGATCGAACACGTAAAGCATGTAAACGTGTGGAGAATATAAGGCACCAGAGTTGTTTTTTGACGTTGTAGAGGATGCTCTGCGCAGATATTAACGCAACTCGCACTAGTGGACAGCTCCTTTTTGAGTACCAGGCCCCCTCCCACCCCGTCCCCAAAAACAAAATAAAGAAAAATTCCCACAGAAAACGTGGGCAATTTCATAAGGATCTAAGTACATCTGATTCACAAAATCATAGTTTGTATATCTAAGTTAGCACTTCAATGAAACCGTCTGCCCAAATGTCAGAGGGCAATGGTGCAACAGGGTTCATATTTAACAGGAACAAACGTCAACCGGTTGTTTTAGCAATGCCTTCGCTGTGCGGCTACCGAAGCACACATTGCATGACACGTGCAAACAAACAATCTCATTTGCTTTGTGTATAGAGTTAAAAGGCAAACGAGTAAACAACATATCTAGATTTCCTCATATGCATTTCAAGGTGCACTTGGTCATTTTTGGTTTATGTGAGACATGAAGCTTCTTCTGCCATGATAAATTTATTTTGCAAATGAACGTGACTAATAACATTGAGTTTATGTTGTTAATTGGTTGGTCACGTGATCTCAACATGGCGGCCCCCATGATGCAACCAGCGAAAAACTGTTGTGTAAATAATGGAAAAATGACCAAGTGCACCTTTTAAGTCGAACCAGAAGGGGTGACATCCACTGATATAAATTGGATAATCTAACAAAAGTGCATGTTTAAATATTCACAGCACTCCCGCATCACTGTTCCTTCACTTCTGATGTTCGTTTGCATGTTGAACCTTTGGTTCAAACGGTTCCTAAATAATAGCTTTTGTGCTGGAAGTCAAAAGTGAGCACTAATTATATTTCTTCCTCTTTTTCAATACAAGTTCGAGTGGGGTCAGATGCTCTAATAGGCAACAAGCCACCATGACGTCACTCGCTTTGCACGCTCTCGTTATTAAAAACCCCAGTGTGCATGCTGAATATGAACAGCATTTTCACGCCACTTTGTACTTTTTTTTAAAAATTAAGAGTACATTTTAAAATCTGCAAAAAAAAACAAAACATTAGGTCATCAGTTTTTACACTTGAAGCGGCCGCTGTCAAGTTGGCAACATGATTGACAGGTGTCAGAGCTGAAGTGTTCAGAAAGCATATCGAATCGTATTGTTTTTATATTACGTGTCATTTTACCATTGACTAGGTATGTTCTTTTATTTCTAGTATTTACATTCTTTGCTGTGTGTCATGAGTGGTCTGACTAAAACTGTATATATAAATATATATTGTTTTCAGGATGTTTAGATATTTGTACTGGAAAACAAGTGGATTTTTTTGCAGTGCATAAGAGCTTGAATGTGTCACACACGTGGGTAAAGAGGGATATGCACACACTCCTGCACCATCCTGGACACGGTTCATACATCATGTTGTCGATAGCAGCGTCTTACTGTTAAATGGTGGGTAAGTGGGTAACTTTCTAGATTTCCTCATATGCATTTCAAGGTGCACTTGGTCATTTTTGGTTTATGTGAGACATGAAGCTTCTTCTGCCATGATAAATTTATTTTGCAAATGAACGTGACTAATAACATTGAGTTTATGTTGTTAATTGGTTGGTCACGTGATCTCAACATGGCGGCCCCCATGATGCAACCAGCGAAAAACTGTTGTGTAAATAATGGAAAAATGACCAAGTGCACCTTTTAAGTCGAACCAGAAGGGGTGACATCCACTGATATAAATTGGATAATCTAACAAAAGTGCATGTTTAAATATTCACAGCACTCCCGCATCACTGTTCCTTCACTTCTGATGTTCGTTTGCATGTTGAACCTTTGGTTCAAACGGTTCCTAAATAATAGCTTTTGTGCTGGAAGTCAAAAGTGAGCACTAATTATATTTCTTCCTCTTTTTCAATTTGCACCTTTGGAAATAGTATTACACTGCAAAAAATGTCCAGCTTGTTATCCAGTCAAATACACAGCATCTTTAAAATAATTTACTTGACAAGCAGAACTGTAGGAGTGGGGTCAGTTGCTCCAATAAGCAACAAGCCACAGTGACGTCACTCACTTTGCATGCTCTCTTTAATAACCCCAATGTGCATGCTGAATATCAGCAGCATTTTCACGTCACTTTGTACTTTTTTAATTAAGAAAGTACATTTTAAAATCTGCAAAACACATTAGGGCATCAGTTCTTACACATGAAGCGGTCGCTGCCAAGTTGGCAACATGATTTACCGGTGTCAGTGCTGAAGTGTTTAGAAAGCATATTGAATCGTATTACAACTGACCCCACTCATGATTTTATATAAAGTGTCATTTTACCATTAACTAGGCATGTTCTTTTATTTCCAGTATTGACATTTTTTGCTGTGTCATGAGTGGTCTGAATAAAATTGTGCAAACTGTTGGATTTTTCTTAAAATAATAAAATAACTAATATATATATATATATATTGACTAGGTATGTTCTTTTATTTCTAGTATTTACATTCTTTGCTGTGTGTCATGAGTGGTCTGACTAAAACTGTATATATAAATATATATTGTTTTCAGGATGTTTAGATATTTGTACTGGAAAACAAGTGGATTTTTGCAGTGCTGCACAAGAGCTTGGATGTGTCACACACGTGGGTAAAGAGGGATATACACACACTCCTGCACCATCCTGGACACGGTTCATACATCATGTTGTCGATAGCAGCGTCTTACTGTTAAATGGTGGGTAAGTGGGTAACTTCCGGCGATGAGTGAAGAGATGCAACTGTTTGAGTCTGTGAGGGTTGTGTGTGTGTAGATCGATCCCACATTACAGTAACGTCTGATTATCAAGTCATTCGTTCTGTGCATCATAGATGCATTAGTCCTCGTCCCCGTCCCCGTCGTCCCCGTGCAGGCCCTCCGGTAGCATCTCGCGCGCCCTCCGCTCCCGGCTCCGCTCCTGGATCTTCTTCATCTCGTCCGCGTACTTGCAGAAGGTCGCGCCGAATTTGGACCACACTTTGCAGGGCACCGTGATGGAGTTGCGGTAGGTGGGCTTCACCTCGCTGACCCGCATGAAGACGCCGTACTTGTTGGAGCCCACGTCGAAGAAGAAGCGCTTGTTATCCACCGTCAGCGACGTGCCCTCGGGCAGCTCCGCAGGGTCCTCGTCCACGCCGAAGTCATCGATGAGTTTGGCCAGCGCGTCGCGGAACTCGATGAGTCCCTGTGCGGGAAGCGCGATGGTCTGGCCTTGCGAGGCTCCCAGGCCGGGCCCGCGGTTGACGGTCTGCCGGATCCGGAGAAACCGCCCCCTCTGGTTCTCCTTCAGATCCATGTAGTACTTCCGATTCTCGCGCACCAGGAACTCGCTCTTAAGCGCCCTCCTGGGCTCGTCCTGCACCGTGTCAGGGTTGCTGGGGCCCAGCTGGGCGTAGTGCTCGATGAAGTCTCCTAGGTAGTCGCGAAACTCCACGGCGACGGACATGGAGAGAGTCAGGCGGCTCTTGTTTCCCCCGGCCCCGACCTCTGCTATCTTCAGAAAGCGGCCTTTGGCGTTCTGCTTCACGTCCAGATAGAAGCGTTTGTTCTGGATGTCCACCCGCTTCGAGGCGAGCTCCTCCGTGTCGTGCTGGATCCGCGACGCGGCGCCCGGGTGCATCGGGCCGGGGCCTGTGGCGAATCCACCGTGCTCACTTTCACTGTCTCTGTCCGCCATGATGCAGCCTCCCCGCTTACCTTCTCTCTCCGTCTCCCTCAGCCCTGCTGCAAAAGCGACTGCTGCCGAGCGACCGCGCAACTCTCGCGAGATCTGCTGCCAGAGACGCTTCCTGAAGGAGGAGACGCAACCTCCGCGACCAGCCTCAACTTGGAACAGATAAGCCGCAAAAAGAAAATAATAAACAAAACATTTTTAGAGGGTTACAATAGCCTACATGACATTCTGAAATAATCTAAAGCGCATTATATTATTCTTATAAGTATACCACTATTGGATTGTCTTAAAAGCAATTGAATGTTTAGAGTTAGCCTATGTAAAGGATTCAAATGTAGGCTATATCAACTTCTTTCTTGAAAAAAAATGTAGCTAATTACATTTATGAATGTATGATTTTGCAAGGAATAGTATTAAATAATTAAAATGTAATATGAAAAGGATCTGTTTTCAAAGAGTCACTACAGGTTTTAGGTTTTACGACATTCTGTAACCATTTGTGGATTCCGATGTACAAACCTGGTTGTCCTAAAATTACCTTCTTTTTTTGTAGTAGACTCCCAGTTGTTGAAGATTCATGTCAAAGATTAGCGGCTCGTTTATTTTGTGTCAGGATGTTTCTACAGAAAAGCGGTTTGTTCAGCATTCTGAAGCATCAACTTCTCCACTGACTTCTATAGCCTACAGAATGGGTTCGTACATGCGTTGCGCATCTTTTAGCTCATCTTGAAGTCTCCGTCTGGTGGAGGGGCTCTATTTCTGCAGTCCGTGAGATTCTTCAGATCAGTAGTGTGTTGGTAAAAGTCACATCAGCGTTACGATTGCGCATGAAGCAGTCATTTGGATCTTTTTTTGCCATTCTTTGGAAGCTTTTAGTCATTCTTTTTGTCTGTGTTCATTACCAGATGTAGATTATCTCTCCTATTACCATGACTCGTGTGCATATGTTTAATAAGTGTATGTGTGTGTGAAAGAGAGACAGGGAAAGGGAAACTCGAAAGAATAGGCTAATAATAATGTCAACATGATGGTGTTTTATTACTGTTAGATATTTTCACACATCCTCTTGCATTTATCTTGTTACAATATTTGTGCAAGTATGCGTAGCTGGAAAAAATAAGAATTAAAAGTGACCGTTAAACTAGATTAAAACGAATAAGATGTCAAATTACTCAGTCACAGACAAGATGATAGGGCTTAGTAATGGTAATGATATGGACTAATAGACACACATACCTGTTTGCTGTTTAGCACAACGGACAGCGACAGCGCCGCGCCCACAGAGACTGTCAACACGTGATTTTTTCCAGATTTATTATGAATGAGTTAATGAATTCTGAGGTTGTTGCTCATTAAATGCTTTGAGGACGCATAAAAGCATGAGTAGAAGTTATATACTCTCCATAGGCGTAATGGTTTTTCTACTGTTCAAATGGTATTTTCTATCGCCCTACACCAACCCTATTTTCTGCGTTTTTTAGATTTCAGAAAAACACCATTTAGTATGTTTTTTAAGCCATTTTAATTACGGGGACATAGACAGTGTCCTCAAAAACCACCTTTACATTGTAATACCGCTGTCATACCCATACAAATGTGTGTCCCCCGTAAACCACCCTAACCAGAGCTACTGTGCAAAAGTCTTAAACCACTATAGCATTTTCATTCAAATTGATTTTCTTGTCACATGACAACAATGGCTCCTGCAAGTTGGTTATGCTACAGTTACTTTTCATTTGTCAGTCAAAAATGTTCAAATATGAATAATATTCTTTCTTAAACAAGATTGTATACAAATTATTTCTGATAATTTTCAGACATTTTTTCAGTTTTTGGTAAGTTATTTTGACTCTTTAATGAAAGGCGCATTTTATTAAGCTCAAATAGAGTAACTTATGGGTTTTAATGACTCAGAGATAACAAATGTTATTAATAAATAATAACTAATATTAATTATGTTGTTTTAAATAAATATAATCACAATTATTAAAATATATATATAATTAAATAATATTAACATTAATAAAGATTAAAAACATTAAAAATGAAAATACCGCGAAAATAAACGTTTTTTGAAAATAATAATGAAGTTCGAGATCAAGTATTTCAGTAGGCTACTTTTTTATTTAATGATGGCCGTCATTAAACACTTTTTCTGGCGAAAATGGTATAAACGTTTTTCAAAAATCCAACGTGAATACAAAGATTACATTGAAAAAACTTGGTGCCTGTGTTTTAAACTAGATTTTTGTCATCTCGAACATTCTTGTTCGTCATTGACCCAGTAAAGCAAACGCGAAAACAATATCGACGAGAATCTGAAGCGAGACAGGTGTTCGCAGCCCATTTCTCTGTTGCGTTACACACTCGCGTTGTGACTGCAGATGTCGCCCTACAGCAGCCTCAGGACAGGACGGCAATGGCACATTCATTCTCTCGCGACGCATTTACGCATGATGTAACCCTAATGTTCAAGTTAAAAACCCAGTCCAAACAGTGCACAAAATAACCCTCCAGACTGTGGCGAATCATTCGGCTCATTTAGTTTGACTCGTCATGACGGCGCAATGACCGGTCCCCTCCTCTCATTATAGAGCCCTGGGTACATGGCAAATACCCGCAGGACCTGTTGCCGGGGTAAATATGGCTGATAGGATGCTCGGTGGTTTGCTGTGTATCTGTCTTCTTGGAGCGTGGCGGATCGCATTTTGGGGCAAAATGGTGAATGTGACCTGAATGCGGATTGTTCTCGAGTAGAAAATCACGGCAAACGCACTTTTCACCAGGCATCGATTGCATTTTCAGCTGCTTTTCGCAGCGTTAGTCATCGCGTCAGCGGTCTGCCGCGGTGGCCCGACTGCCGTTTCTCTATTAGTTGATGTCGCGCGGCGTATTAACACAATTTACGCACATTTACGCCAGCAGGTTGCCTGCTTTCGAGGGATTTCTTTCTAAGGCTGGCTGGTAGGTCGGACGCT